TCTCATCTCATCTCATCTCATCTCATCTCATCTCATCTCATCTCATCACAACGTATTCCATCCCAATCCACTGCATCCCATTCCATCATATTCCATCCCATCACAACCCATCCCATTCCATCCCACCCTACTGCAACCCATCCCATCCCATCCCTGCCCACCTGGTAGAAGGAATGGAAGTTCCTCTCTCCTGGCTGCTGCTGGAGGACTCGGGACTGGAAGAGGTGGCAGTGGCTGGGTGTCAGGCAGTGCTATGGGCCAGCCCTCACACAGCAATGCCCTCCCACCCCATGCCCCCTGCACCTTCTCCAGGAGGTAATTGTAGATGTGGCCACCAGTAGGGTCTCCCTTGAAGTCAAAGTTGATGTCCATGTACTTGCCAAAGCGGCTCGAGTTGTCATTGCGATTGGTCTTGGCATTGCCAAAGGCCTCCAGGACACAGTTGGACTTCAGCAGCACATTTTTCACCCTGCCCAGCACAGCATGGTGTGCCATGGCATGAAGGTGTGCCAAGACATGAAGGTGTGCCATGGCATGAAGGTGTGCCAAGGCATGAAGGTGTGCCATGGCATGAAGGTGTGGCACTGCACAGTGCAGCATCCCAGCTCTGAAGCCGATGGATGCAGGATGCAACACCTTTGTGTCCATGGGTTTCCCCAGCTCCCCATATCATCCCCAATGGGCACAATGCCCCCCTGGGGACACCCCGAATGACAGATCTGTGCCCAATCACCCAATTCCCTGTTGGGTTGGACTCACCTCTCCACCTCGGCACGCTGCGTTGGATTGGTGATGGCTGCGATGTACTGCATGATGTACTTGCTGGCCTCCGTCTTGCCAGCGCCGCTCTCACCTGGCAGAGGCAGGAAATGGGCAAGGTGTGCACCCATTGGCACCCAGCTCCAAGGGATGCCCTTCACTTGTCCCCTACCTGAGATGACGATGCAGGTGTCCTTGGCACGGCGCTTCATGGCCTTGTAGGCAGCATCAGCCAAGGCGAAGAGATGCGGCGGGCGCTCGTAGAGCTCACGGCCCCGGTACTGCTCCACCACAGAGGGGCCGTACAGCTCCAGAGCCCGGTACGGGTTCATGGCCACCACCACCTCTCCGATGTAGGTGTAGATACGGCCCTTTGAGAACCTGCACACAGGGGTGGCAGTGGGACAAGGTGCGTCCCTGTGCTTCATGCTGTGGGGCTATACAGGGCACGAGGGGAGCAGCTCTTCCTGTAGGCAGCACCCATGGGTGCAAGCAGGAAGTGCAGGGCACCAGGGTGGCACAGACAGATAGGACCAGGACAGACAGACACACACATGCACATTGTTGTGCACGGTCACGCACACACAACCCAACGCCCACCCAGACACCCCCCACTCAGCTCCAGGGCCGTGCCTCCCTTTCCCTCAACCAGCAGTAGGGCGCTGCCCAGCACAGATGTTTCCTTTTGGGTCAGGGTTTGCACCTCAGGACCATTCCTTGAGCTGCAACGAAGGATTTAGGGTCCCCAGGGCTGGTGGTATCCCCATCACCCTGCTGCTGAGCACTGCATCCTGGCTGCACCACCCCGCCTCGGCCTCACCCATTCTTATCTCACCCATCCCAACCTCACCCCACCCATCCTGCCTCGCCCTGCATCCCCGTACCGCAGGCGCAGGTTCTCCATGAAGTGCTCCATGGTGACTTCATCCAGCAGGACAAAGTCAGCCTTGCCAAACTCGGGGCCCTCCAGCTCCGCCATGCTGCGCCCACCACCCACAAGCACCACTTCCCCCCTCCGTGCTGCTTCCTGCACCTCTGCCCGCCCAAGCAGCGGCGCAGGCGCGCAGGACGTGGGGCCCAGCCCTACTGTCACCTCCCATGGGGAACAGCGTGGTGGTGACAGGAGACACACAGAAGGGCAGGGTGGGGAATTTGTCCCCACGCTCCAAAGCACTCGGGCACCAGTCCTACAGAGGAGTCTGCACCTCCACGTGCCCACAGTGGGATCATCCACAGGGGTTTGGGACACGAGCCAGGGACGCACGCAGCGCCGTGCTTGCAGCGACGTTGCAGTCATTCATCCGGCCCCACACCGCAGCACCCTGGAAGCTGCAAGTCTGTGGGTCGGTGCCTCCACCCACACAGTGGCTGATGAGACAGCAGTGACAGCCGTGACAGCCGCTGCGTGCACCAAACACGGTGCTGCTCAGGATGCTGAGCACGGTGCAGCCAGGGTGAACTGCTTGCACCACACCCTGGGCACAGAGCCCAGTAAGGACCACAGCAGCCCAGGGCAGGTCCCCTGAGGACATATCCCTGCCCCACAGGCACCAAAACCCATGTCCTCTCCATGGGATGCACCTTTCTCACCGCCAGCCCTCAGGGCACAGCGCTGCGGTGCCGATGGGCTCACAGAAACCCCACGAGGTGCAGCAGCACAGATGCCTGGGGACAGCCTCAAGCCCACGTTTCCCTATCCAGGAGCAACAACAGGAGCCTACAGCTGTGAAAATACCAGAGATTTGTATTTATTGATGTGACATGTGCTTGTACAGCAGTAAATACAAGCAACTGTACCCCCAAAATATCAGTACACAGCCAACACTCCTCATCAGCACTGGGTGCTCCGGAGAGCAGAAGCCCCCACTGCTGAGTCCTGTTCCAAGGCTGGGGAAATGCACCCAAATCCTCTCCTCTTCCTCAGGAAACTTCTTGTGGGCCCATCCTGCGCTGAGCAGCTCCTCACCGCGCCGCAGAGCACACAGGCAAGTTGGGGACTTCCAGTTGTGGCTGTTCACCCAGGGTTCCAAGCTGCACTGGGCTCGCACACTTCATGCTGGCCACTCAGCACCGTTTCACCTGAAGACAAAGCACAAAGAGCTGCACTGATCACAGAGACAAGGAGGTTTCATTGGCCTGCAGCCCCACTCAGGTGGCTTTTACTCGTCTCTGGTGTACATCCTATTTGTAGAGTGAACTGCAAGCACTCAGGAAGCCCCTAGGCTTGTCCTACCTTCATGTGATCCAGCAGAGCATCACCCGTGAGCTCAGATTTCTTCTAAATGCAGCTTCAGATGCAGCTTCACAGCTTCAGCACAAAGAATTGAGTGGCAGTTGCAGGCAGCTCTGTGGGGCCCAGCTGAAACCCCAAGACAGGGCTGGAACCATCAGAGGTAGCACTCCTTTCAACCAGGATTTAAAGACCTGTGGCAGAAGTATCAGTGAGTGAAAGAGCAGGCAGGGTGAGTGCTGCCCTGAGGGTCCACAGTCCTATATTCCTATATTCCTACTATGCTGGAAGGTTCATGGCAATGAGAGAGACCTGCAGTGCGTGGTGAGTAAGCCTTGCTGGAGAAGGGCTGAGGGGAAGCCCTGCAGCCATCTGCACTCACTGCACCTAGCAATGGAGTAGGCAGAGCAGGGAGTGAATAACACTGCAACAAAGGGAGAAGAGCTTCAGAGCACATGGCCTCACATCACTGCCCCATTAGCTGCAGGAAAGGAAGTAGCCCAGCTGCATCCCTGTGCTGCACCTCTCAGCCCTGAGGGACTCACTGATGAGGGCCAAAGAGGAAACAAGGCACTGAAGCTACTTGATTATGCAAAGTATGACTAATCATGGCAGAATGAAAAAACCCCTGCAGAGCCACCCAGTGAACATACCTGCCTGCTCCCTGCAGCATCAGGTGTCCGTCTCGACCATCAGACAGGGGAACTGCAAGCTGAGAAGAACAGTATTGTTACAAAATAGAATCACAGAATTGTAGGGGTTGGAAAGGACCTCCAGAGATCATCGAGTCCAACCCCCCAAAGAACAGAGGAAGGAAGAAAGCAGCTCTGCAAGTCCAGGAGAGAAACAGGAGCTGGGGGACAGAGTGTATGGAGTTTCTATAGCCTCCCCCTGAGAGACAGAAGAAGGCCTCAAACCACCCCAGGGCTGCTCTGGCAAGCGCTGCAGGAATGGATGGGGCCACAGCAGGCCCCACCATGCTGGAAGCCTTGCGGGGCACAGCTGAAGGCAAGTATTCCAACGTTCCCCTTTCGTACCTTTAAGGCCGAGGCATGCAGCGCAGGAAACAGAAGGGAAGAAACGGCGGGCGCTGTAGGGAAAAAACAGCGTGAGTCAGGAGGAGCAGCTCTAAGACACGCCTGCTTTCTCTAAGGACTGGGATCGCTTAGCAATCGCTAATAATCGTGCAGACGCTCGGTGCCGCCGTGGGATCCACGTGGGCTCCCTCGCACGTGCACGGATACAGCCGCATCACCCCTCGGGCACGGCTGACCCACCAGGCCATGGTCCCCAGGACCAGGCCTAAGAACACACCCAGGCCCCACGGTGCAGACCCAGACAGCCCGAGCCCGCCCCTCCTAGCGCATATCGCACCCCAAGTGACTGAGGTAAGCAGTGTTCAGAGAAATCCACCTCTCGTACGCCTCCACCGCGCCTCCCAGACCCGCCAGACGGCGGATGGCAGCGGATAGCGACAGACCACACCGCACACTTACCCGCCATCACCTCCGTGTTCGAGAGGGCCGTCGCCGATGAATGACGTCAGCACTCCTCGCGGCGGCGGGCGGCGCCCCCTTGCGGTGAGAGGCGGGAAGCAGACAATGCGCATGCGCAGGGGAGGGATCAGCACCCCCGAGTGGGCGTGGTTATGCAGATAAGCGGTGGGGTGAGCGCGGGCCGAGTGGCGCATGCGCAGTACTTCTCCTCGGGAGGAGGACTGACGTCAGTCCTCCGAGCGCCGCGCGGGGCACGCCGGGAAGCCGCCGCCCAAGATGGCGGCAGGATTGAAAAGTGGTCGGCGGAGCTGAGGCGGCCCGGCATCCGACCGCCTCCCGGGGCTGCTCTGCCTCCTCCCGGCCCCGCACAGCCTTACCCCGCCGCCCCAGGGCCGCTGCGGGGATGCCCCGGAGGGGGCCGGGGCCGCCGTTGCAGCCGCTGCTCCCGGAGCCATGGAGGAGGAGAGCAAGAAAGGCAAAAAGGTGAGAGCGGGGCTGGGGGTGCGGCCTGCACAGGCGGCTGGGCCGCTCCTTTGGGCCTTTCGTGTCGTCGTTGTGAGGTGGAAGCGCTGCTCCATCTCATCGATTTACGTTTGTGTTTCTTTCCTTGCTGCTCAGGCCCGTTTTATTGCGTTGTTTATGTAGGGGAAACAAAGCCTGAGCCTCTGTGTGAAGGATGAATCTTTCCTGCGGTTCTGGTGACATAAGTGTGGGGGAATGCACTATTTTTGGTGCTGTCTCAGCTGGGGATGCTGCAGTAAGTGGGGCCTCGGGAGGTGGCAGCAGAGCTTCCAGCTGGAGGCTGTGGGATGCTGCAGGAGTTGGGGCCTGTTATGGTTTACCCATAGTGCTTAATCTCTGGTTAAATAAGAAGGGTTGTGCTCAGTGCCCTGTGCAGGGAAGGAAACATGGCTCCTGGTCCTCCCTGGAGGGCTTTGTAAAGGCTGTGATGCCTATGAGCTGTGTGCAGTGTGATGGGATCAGTGGTGTGGGTGATGCTCAGTACACAATGTTTCCTTGCTCAGAAATCCTTTTCTGCTCTAAGAACTCTCGCTCTCAAGGGTGTAAATGATTGCAAAGCAACTTCAGCTATAATGTAGGAATGAGCTGTAAGGATGGTGCTTGGCTGGAATACCCTGTGAGGAGTGATCCCTTCTGGAAGAAGTTCTTATCTCCACTGCATGCTAGGCTTCTGTTATTTTGCAAAAGATAAATCAGCTTTACATTCTACAGTGAAAAATTATGTTCTCTAAGTGTGTGTGTGCCCCACTGTGACTGGGGGGAGAGCTCTGCTGTACTGTCTGCTGTCATCTGGAGCTGGGGGGAGCTGAAGGAGGAATTACGGTGTAGGTATAGCCTGGGCAAAGGGAAGGACAGCTTCTGGGAAGACAGAGCTGTCAGATCTGCTGAGAGGGAGCTTTTCCTGTCTGCCTCACTATAGGGAGTGAGGAGGCAGCTGGCTCCTGTGGAAAAGTGGATTCTCCAGGGTCAGCGGAGCAGAATGCTGGGACAGACTCCCAATGGGTCTGGAGAACTCTAGGGGTTGGAAGGGAGCTTTGGAGTCCATCCAGTCCAGATCCTGCAGTCTGTTTAACCTCGCTCTATACAAAGTATTTGGGTGGAATTTGCTGTGGTTTGGTTTGTGCACCACTGAGAAAGGGCTGGGTTCTTCTCTCTGTCACCACTTGTATACAGGCTGGTATAATCCCACTGAACCTTCTTGTGGCTGACCTGCTCCCCCTCTCCCAGTCTCCCCTCTTGTGCCAGCTGCCCCACTCTCTTGTCACCTTCACAACCCAGTCCCTGTCCCAGCACATCCCAGTCTCATACTGGTGACATCAAACTGGACATGGTGCTGGCATCACAGTGCCATCAGTGATCCTAATGCTCAAGGAGTGTGCTGAAGCACTGTGAAAGCAGCTCAGTGCCAAAGCATGTCTCTGGTTAACAGATGTGTGCAGAGGTCTGGCACGTTGCAGATTTGGTCCCCAGATTCAAGCATCTGTGGCTTCACTTCAGGGCTGAAGCCAGGGTATGGCTGCAATCCTCTCAGCACTGATTTTCCATATCCCTGCAGCTTTTCTGAGCTTGGGTTGCTGTTGAAGATAGCTAATTTGGCTGTGTTCATTCACTGTGCCTCTGTGGTTCCCAGCCCCAGGAGCTTTAGGGAAAGCTCTTCCCCATGCTTTACATACAACGTGGATCTTCCTAGGATGCAGGTGGCTGGCCCCCAGCCAGTGACCTTCTGGGTTGAAGCACAGCAAATGAGTTTCTTTAGCCCTAT